GCTGTAAACACATTTAAAAAGAAAAAAGATCTCAAGTCAACAACCTAACTTTACAATTTAAGGAACTAGAAAAATAGGAACAAACTAAACCCAATGCTAGCAGAAGGAAGGAAATTATAAAGCTTAGAGAAGAGATAAATAAAATATAGAATATAAAAACAGAGAAAATAAAACCTAAAGGGTCTTCAAAAAGATTAACAAAATTGACAAACCATTAGCTAGATTGAGAAAAAAGAGAAGACTCAAAATGTTAAAAGTAGAAATGAGAGTGGGAACATTACTAACAATTCTACAGAAATTGAAAGGATTGTAAGAATACTATCTATAGTTGCCAACAGATTCAATTACCTAGATGAAATGGACAAATTCCTAGAAACACAAAACCTACCAAGACTGAATCATGAAGAAACAGGAAATCTAAATAGATCTATAACTAGTAAACTGATTGAATTAATAATCAAAAACCTCCCAACCAAAAAAAAAAAAGTCCTAGGCCTGATTGCTTCACTGGTGAATTCTACCATTTAAAGAATTAACACCAGTCCTTCTCAAACTTTTCCCAAAAATTGAAGAGGAGGGAATACTTCATAACTCATTCTATGAGGCCAGCATTACCCTGATACCAAAGCCAGACAGAGACACTATAAGAAAACTATAGACTAACAACCCATATGAACTCATGAACATTGATGCAAAAGTCCTCAACAAATACTAGCAAACCAAATTCAACAGCATATTAAAAGGATTATATACAAGTAGGATTTATTCCTGGAATGCAAGGACAGTTCAAAATATGAAAATCAATCAATGTGATACACTAGGTTAACAGAATAAAGAAAAAATACATGATTATCTTGATTGATGCAGAGAAAGCATTAAACAAAATTTAACACCCTTTCATGACAAAAAACACTAATAAAAAAACTGGACTAGAAGGAAAGTATCTCAACATAATAAAGGTTATGTATGAAAAACACAAAACTAACATTATATTCAATAGCAAAAGACTGAAAGCTTTTCCTCTCAGATTAGGAATAAGGCAAGGTTGCCTACTCTCAAAATTTCTATTCAATATAGTACTGCAAGTTCTAGCCAGAGCACTTAGGTAAGAAAAAGAAATAGAAGACATGCAGATTGGAAAAGAAGATGATGTGATATGTAGAAAACTCTAAATATTCCACAAGAAAACCTGTTAAAACTAATTAACAAATTCAGCAAAGTAGCAAGATACAAAATCAACACACACAAAAAAATCAGTTGTGTTTATGTATGCTAACAATGAATAATCAAAAAGAAAATTAAGAAAATAATTCAATTTACAAAAACATCAAAAAGAATAAACTTAGGAACTCATACTTAGGAATAAACTTGACCAAGGAGGTGAGAGACTTGTATCTTGAAGACCACAAAATGTTGCTAAAAGAAATTAGAGAAGAGACAAGTAAGTGGAAAAAGCCATCCCCTGTCCACAGACTGGAAGACTTAGTATTGTTAAGATGTCAGCACTACCCAAAGCTATCTACAGATTTAATACAATCCCAATCAAATACAAATGGTGTTTTTTGCAAAACAGAAAATTCTATTCTAGAATTCATATGGAATTTCAAAGGATCCCAAATTGCCAAAACAATCTTAAAAGAGAACAAAGTTGGAGGACTCAAACGTCCTGACTTAAAAATGTACTACAAAGCTACAGTAATCAAAACAGTATGGTAATGGCATAAAGGCAGACACATAGACCAGTGGAATAGAATACAGAGCCCCAAAAACAAACCTTCACATGTATTGTCAGTGATTTTTACAAGGGTGACAAGATCACTGAATGGGGACAGTCTTTCACAATAAATGCTCCCGGGAAAACTGCATATTACATGCTAAAAAAAGAAAATAGAGCCTTACATAATACCATATACAAAAATTAACTCAAAATGGATCAAAGACATAAATGTAAGAACTAAAACTGTAAAATGCTTAGAGGAAAATATTGAGGGAAAGCTTCATGATACTGGATTCGGCAGTGATTTCTTAGATATGACACTAAAGGCATAGGCAACAGAAGAAAAATTGGATTTCATCAAAATGAAAAACTTTGGTGCCTCAAAGGCCATGATCAACAAAGTAAAAAGATAACCTACAGAGTGGGAGAAAATATTTGCAAATCACATAGCTAATGAAGGATTAATATGCAGAATATATAAAGAACTCTTAGAACTCAACAACAAATGCCAAACAACTCAATTCAAAAATGAGCAAAAGAGGACTCTCAGAACTTGCCTCCTGCTTCCTCAGAGGCACCAGCAGCAACCACGCTAGAAGTCCCAGCAGAACCGGGCCGCTCTGATCTTCTAGGTCTGGGAAGACCACCCCTTCTTTTTTGTTCCTTAAGCCCTAGAAGGGCCGGTAGTTACATTCTGCTGTGTAATCAATTCTTTGACTTAAATTTTCTTTGCTCGAAAAAAAA